AATGATCTTCCCCAGCAGATCGAGTTTGCTCAGTTATGATGGAAAATGGTAAAATTCACATTTAGCATTTAGGACTTGTCGTCTATGTTAACATAACTATGTTTTGCGGTTTCCAGTGTCAAGAGTTAACTTTCAGTCTCAGCCTTTGAAATGATGACTATGTGCTGTGGGTTTGTGTGTTATTCACCCCAGCGGTGTTTTCCTTCATTCACATTGCTCTCAAGTACAAACAAGGGGGCTTCTATTTATGTTACAGTGACCACATTATGCCAGCACACACACACACACACACGCATATCGACACACACTCACAATGTGCTCTTGGCATCGCCTTGACACATACAAAGCTCAGGTGTGAGATAATGAAATGAGGACTCTGTGGACCCTGTGGACAGACTGAGCTCTACAATGTCATCCTGAGGAGAAACTACTACACATCTGCAATGAACACATGTTTTTATACAACACCAGCCCTTGCCCCCTTTTAGTTATCAATATAATCTATTTGTTTTAATCTGGTTAATTCATTTTTTCTCAAACTTTTTCTGTCACGCACTCTTCTGAAGCCAAAAAAAGTTAATGCCCCCCACCCCAGCAAAAGTGGATTTCATTTTTATCAATCATCAACAATACAAGCGATTTGAAATAAAGATTCAGATAAGCCTTGCTAGCATCAGAGAACTTTTGTTTGTTTAACACATAAATCATATTCATGCAACTTTAGGTCATTTCAACATCCACGACTCCCCGAAGTGGCTCTAACCCCCCCCCCCCCCCCCCCCCTCAGTTTGAGAACCGCTGGGTTCATTCAAAGTAAAGACAAATGATATGAAAAATGTCTGAAACATTACGCACATAGCCATTTATAGTCATTGCAGACTGTACTGGGATTAGAAAACTGCAAATATAGTATCCTCAGACATCACTTTTGTGATTTTACTTTAAAACATGTGAATTGGAAATCAAAACAACAAAGAGAAATATTTTTAAATGATCTTTCTCCAGACTCCCTCTTCTGTTATCCACTGCTTTCTCTGTATTCCATTGCTTTGATGATTTTTTTTGTCACTTATCTTGCTATTTAAACTGGGACTGTCTCTATTTCTCTCTCTCCTTAATGATGTGCTTGAGTGATGCTAATGAATGGTTCTTAGACTCCTCTTCACTCTTCTCCTCCTCCATTCCCATTTTTCTTCTCTCCATCTGCCTTGATCTGTCAGAGAGACCGCAGAAAGAGATTTTTCTACTTTGGTTATGAAACTCCCTCAGGGTGATTCTAAAGGAAAACTGATGACTCTCCTCATTTCTGCCAGTCTGCGACGTGATGGATTGAAGTGTTTAAAAGGCCTGACTATTTCTGTTGGACTGTCCATCTGAGTGGCTCACAGTTAGGAGTCAGGAGGGAGTTTTGGTGGATGATGCAAAGGGCGAATGTGTGTAGGTGGCCCTGTGTGTGGGTTTGTGGATTTACTGTATGTGCATACATGCCTTTGTGCTTGCATATGTGGTGCAAGTGAAGTCTGGTGTGAAGGAGAGGCCAATGTAACGCTCTGCACAGCCATGACTGATTGCACTCTGAGTCAACTCTCCTGTGTTGGGAGTGGGAGTCACAATAGTAATTTTTTACACTCCAAAAAAAACAATTGTTTGTAATAAGTTTTGAAATGACAACACGTTTTATATCACTTTTAAATTGAATATATCTAGGTTTTGGAATCAGTTAGTCAGCATTTTGTGTACTATTCTTTCATTATTATGTTACATTTTGTAAAATAGACAATTAATTGATTAATCTAAAAAGGAATCGACAGACTAATCGACAGTGAAAATACATTTTAGTTGCAGCTTTATTAGTTGTAATTAAGGACTTAAACTTGCACTAGGCTAGTTAATGTTTTTGTATTAACTGTGAATAAAATGACACATGTGTAATGTGAAAGGAGTCACTCATAGTGACAAAGCCAGAATCACCAGATTCTGACATTTCGGTGGTGAACAAAGCGGAGCTAAAAGGTAAGTAAATATTGGATTTACAATCATCAGATGTCTAGTTACTCATCTTGCAAAATAGTTTAAAGCGAAGTGAAACACCTAACAATACAAACATATCCAGTAAATGTCTTTTGTAGTGACACTTATTATGGTTATAAAGGAGTTTGACCACTAGTAGTGTATGATACAATGTTTTTAAGTGAGTACATTCAGTCCAGCAGTTGGTGGCGGTAACACACCAACAAATGTAGAAGTGCGCATACAAAGACAGGAAAGAAGACTGCTAGCAAGTAAAATTATTTCAAATATTAAAGAATGCAAATGTTCTGAGAAAGCAAATACATTCAACATGTTTGTAAAACCACTGAATGTAATGATAACTTAAAGAAAACACCTTTAACCCTGCCTTATTGCAGATTATTAGAACTTTCCTCTCTAAAACAGGGTGTCATACAGTTTGTTCATTAACATTTCTCTGTCTTTTTTCCCCATGACCATAGAAACTCATCTTAACTTTCAGTTTCAGCACGTTTTTACTTTCTCCACTGCTGTGCATTGGACCCCTGCTGCTTTGACCCCTCTTTGTCTTTTCGGCTTTCAGCCCTGTTATTCTGGTTCTGCCTTCTCATCCTTTAGCTCTTCCTGCAATCCTCCATTGTGCTTTTATGCCAAACGCCAATCTCATCCTCCATTTTGTTCCCCCCTGTATTACTATCCTTGATCCTTACCATCTTGTCTTCATCCCCATCCATCCCTGCTATCCCTTCCTCATCCGCCCTTCCCTCCTTTCATCCTCTAAGCCGGTGCAGATGCTTTAGCCAGGTGTTCAATGTGTTGATCTGGTTAGCCAGCAAGATAGATTGCCAGATAATCAAGACTTAGCCTCCACTTCCCATTCTGTCAAGGCTATCTGTCTGCTGTTTCCAAGCTAAGACACACATGCAGTCACACTGGCTCAAATAGTTTGGAGGAATGCAGCTGGAAAAAAAGGTTTAGTGACCACAGTGCTTTGTGAAGGACTGACAGGCAGACAATTAAATTGCTCGGTAATTGGCACAGCATTACCCAAGCAGACAATAGTCTTCCTGTTCTATTTATGACCTTTGAACTTAGTTTATGACTCCTGCTCTCTGCATGGTAACTGCAGGATGAAAGTATGCCAACAGTGATTGTCTTCATGCAAAAGAACGGAGTGTGTCAGAAAGAGAAGTAGAAAAGGTCCGGAGTGATTTTTGGACTGAACATCATTAGGGAAGCAGAGACAATGGACCCTGGGAAATGGAACATTTGAAGTGTTTGGGTTTCATGGTGAAGATAGGGGATGAGTGACGGAGCTTGCAGAAGAAAGCTTCAATAACACTCACAAAATATAACAAGAGAGGAGTAGATGAGTTGTTTTCATGTGTGGAGAAGAAGCAGCAGAGGCAGGGTTATCTGAGTCCTTGAAAGTAATTTCCCAGAGCAGTATGAGATATAGTTGGGGAGAGAGAGAGAGAGAGAGAGCGAGAGGGAGGCGTAGATAGGAGAGAGAGCTAAATGAGGACAGTGTATGAGCACTTGAGACATAAGGTTCATCTATGGTTCTCTGCCATATGACCTCAAAGCATTATATTCAGCGCCAGGAAATTGCAAATGTTTTTCTGCAGTCTTGACTGGCTCACTCTATTTTCTTAATCCAATGCTTTTTAATCGTTGCAGGTATGTCTACAAGTGAAAAGCAGGTATGAAATATGAGCTGTATGAATTGCGGGGGCTTCAGATCATTTGTGCTTGAAACTTTTTGAACTTCATGACCTTGGTCTGGCTTGTCTTCACTGTTTGGCACTGAGCCAGGGGGAGGGAGGCATTATTTGCTCTAAAATGGCAGTGGGAACGTGTGGGGGGAAAAACGGTTTAGTTGGTGTTACCCTGAGAGCAAAATGGATAGAGGTGAGGATACAGTTTATCTGGCTCAGCTCTATCCCACAGCAGGTGTGAGGTTGTGTGGGTTTGACTGGCGATGCACTTTTTCTTTCTTTATCTCTGTTTATCTGTGATTTATCTGTGATTTATCTGCTTCAGCAAGGCAGGAAGGACAAGCAGGTTACTGCCACTGTGGCCTGATGTGTAAGCCACTTGCCAAATACACTGAGTGCGGGTGCATGTTTATAGATATACATTGTTTTGTTTGTTTTTAAATCAACCGCTACGTAACAATATTCTGTATCAGTAATGTTGTAGTGTATATGTGTATGTGTAGCTATCTTAAAACTTTTTTAAATGCAGTTTTAAAGGGAGCATTTTGGAGTGGCTTAAGTAGCTTTCCCAGAACACACAATACATTGGCAGTCAGGTTTTCATTATGCCTCGGTCGGCCTTAAATGATTAGTTAATCAATAGAAAATCAACTTTTTTGATTATCAAGAAATTATTTTAGTAATTTAAAAATGGCAAAACATTCACTGGTTCCAGTCTGTCAACTTCTCATCTGTCCGTTTGGAAATGGTGACATAAGCATTAGCAACTCACACATTTTCTGTATTGATGATTAACCTACTGATTTCCCCACCCCCAAATTTGATCGTTTAGTCTATAAAATGTGACAAAAAAATGTGAAGAATGCCTGACAAAAGCTCCTGGAGCCAGAGGGGATCTCTTGAAATTGTTTTGGGGGTGTTTGTCGACCAACCGTCCAAAAAACACAAATGTTCCATTTAAATGTATTAATCAGATAAAAGCAGCAAATTCTCATATTTGAGAAGCTAAAAACCAGAGAATGTTTGTCGTTTTTTGGTAAATGCATTAACAATAAGTCGATTATAAAATGATTGATAAATTTTCCGTCCCTTGTTGAATCGATTAATTGTCTCAGCACTGGTCGACACCATATGAATTAATACTGCTTGAACATAGTGGGTTGAAAAAACAAAAGAAATTTGGTTACAGCTCTGATAGTCTTTTTGACCAAACAAATTTTTATCTGCAGCCATTTAACTTGTCTTCTCTTTCTCTGTGCACTTCGTTACCAGGCTGCTGCTGACTATGCCAAGGCCCACCTGACTGAGGCTCTTCGCCAGCAGCTACTGACCTACGAACGGGAGAAAGAGCGAGACAGAGAAAAAGACAAGGAGAAAGATGAAAAAAAGGGAGGGAGGTGGCCTGTCCTATCCTTCCATCTTGGAGCAGCAGATCCTCAATTTGGACAGAGAAATGCTAGACAAGCTCTCTGCCACTTACAATGAAGCAGGTGTGTGTATGTGTATGTGTATTTGTTTGTTATACATCACAATAGCCTGGACCCCCACCCCCCCCAATCTGTAAAAGCATGTACACATAACTATATACATGATATATTCAAGCGTAATCATGCAAACATTTGTGCATGTTCTTGCATGTATGAAAATTTGCAGATATTTTTTCTTGCAGTGGTTTTGTCTGTTTAGATGCTTCCCTGGTTCATATTAATTAGCAGTGATCTGCAGTGTGCATACAGTATATCAGCTTGAATGTGTGGCCACAATAGAGGGCAGAGGCCACATACAGATGGTTTTCATCCATGAGTGTTGCTCATTCCTGGGGACAAGAAAAGCACCAGTTAGTGCAAGACGATGCTTTTAAATGTCCCCTATTATTCTGCAAGCAAACTATTATTATTTTTCACTCCACTGTTTCACTTGACTGTTGTTGAATAGTGACTGTGAGCAGCACCAGGCCTTGCTTATTCAGCTGTTTAAATACAAGCTGATCTTCACAAGGCTTGTAGTAATTATCTCTGGAGGGAGGCAGGGAGGGCGCGGTGACGCGCAACAGAGAGAGTGATGGATGGAAAGAGGTAGGAGAAGGGTAAGAGGGAAGGATATATGTGTGGAAGGAGGACATTTTGCTGATAAGAGCTATATGTAGAAACGAATGAGAGACTCGTGCGAGAGGCAAAATGAAGGCAGAACGATAAAAAAAAGAAGTGCTGAGACAAAGGGTAAGGAAAGGGACAAACAGAAAGCTGGACGTTGAAAGGGCGAGGAGAGTGAGAACATAGATACAAAGGGTGATGAAAAACCTTTGTGGGAGAGGAGGAAGAGAACAGTGCAATGTACTGTAGAGGCATACAGGTTTCATTCATAAACATATTTGACTTTGTTCTAAAAGGTTTTGTAGACATCAGAGAGACAGCAACAGAACAATTAAGGGAGGGGTGCAGCATAGCAATGAGTTTCATGTGGTTTTCATCCAATGCTATTAATTTAACAGATCTACTATAGGGAGTAAATACTGGAGCATAGGAAATTAGAGGAGGCCAATACCATATGTTGACACTGGTGATTATGAATCTTTTTTTGTATATGGCAGAAACATTATTGGCTTATTGAACGTGCAGGGGAAAGATCTGAAATTCAGATTTTAAAATGATTACACGGACTAACTGTAGTCACATGCTGGGACCTCAAGAATTCAGCGTTCCTGTGGAAAGGTATCTTTTCCTTCCTGTGTCGCTGATTAAACCAACTCTCAGCTACGTGAGGAGCAGACAGTGCGCAGCTTCTAAATAGAGTTTGAGGTTGTTGGATTTTTTTCTGTGACTAACTGACCAATATAATCTTTAAGTTCAAAATGTAACTTTAAAAAGAAAGCTGTAGATAATCTATATAAACCTGATCATCTGACCACTTGCATTTCTTTCCCCGTTGGACTTTCGTGCAGCAGTGTCACCAGCAGTGTCTCTGTGCTCCCAGTCACCGGCAATTACATTGGTTATTGTTATCATAGCAGATAGAAATGATGGCCAAAACTAAGAAAATACCCAAGTTCTAATATACAGGAAGAAAAGATGAGGAGAAAGAGAATGTTAAAGTTTACAACTAGATTGTAGGTCCAAACAGCCTAAATGAATACCTGCATAGACAGCTGACATGTGACTCACATGTAAGTTGGTGAGGGAGTCACTGGTATGCAAGGGCCATTGAGAAGGTCTCACATCCTCCAGAGAAGGATGGGTCACATGATACCCTGATTGCTGAAGAGAAGAATTAAAATCTCCAGACCTAGAGTGCCCTGTCCAGAGGCAACAGCTGATTATTAACTCACAGAAAAGCTCAACATACTGCAGCTGTAACGCTTTTTGTTACACTTACCTTCTCTCCACCTCTTCATCTTCTTTTATCCTCAACCTCCTCTCCTTCGGTGCTTCCGCAGCTGCAGATAAAGCATCAGCTTTCTGATCCATGTAGGCTACAGCCACCAAGTAGACTGCCTACATGACCTGTTGCATCCAGACTCTAAAAAGATCTGTCCAAACCATTTTTTATTTGTCTGTATATTTCTATCATCCTTTATTTGGACAGCACAGCAAGAAGGACAGATACTGCGGTTAGAGATAAACTTACAGTCAGGCTCCATTACAGTGCAAAAGCTCAAAGCCCTGTGTTGTTGTCTAATCCAAGCATTAGATATTCAGGGATTGAATATGTTTCAGTCTTTGTCAGCATCTCAGAGGGGGATCTGCTGATCAGGTAATTGTTGTGAATTCTTCTCCCTGTATCTAATTCAACAATCGCATCATTTAAGGGGCACAGCTCCCTGCTTTCTGTCGCAATCAGGGCCAAATTAAGCTGGCAGGGAAGGAGAAGAGAGAGGGAAAATAGAGAGAGACTCTCTCAATTCAGCTCTCAGTCCCCAGGACAACAGTGTATCAGATTTATCCCTCTGTTATTTATCGGCTAAGAAAATTGCTTGAAAGAAAGATAAGGGAGATGGGACTTTGATAGAATGGCCAGAAGCTTAGAGTCTATTATGGAAACAGTCTCCTTAACGCTGTGTGGTATTCGGTTAGCAATCACCTTCATGTAGCTGTGTGTGACATGTCTCTCAGCACATGTTTGCACCCACTCAAGCACACAAAAGTGTCCAGTAGTGCATTTTTACAATAATTAGTAGTTAATGTGGCAAACAGCAATGTAGAGACAGGTTAGGGCATTTTTGAGATTAGTTAGCTTAGGTTAGATTTTTGTCCACAATGAGAGCTTGGAGTTCAATCATAAGCAATCAAAAACAGTTCAATAGACCTATTATAAAAAGTAAAATTTTAAACTCCACAAACATAAGACAAATGTATAAATTCAGCGAGGGGTGGGGTAAGGCGGTGGCCCTTACAATTACAAAGTGCTGCACAAGTAAAAAAAAACAAAACATAAAACACATTTAAAACACACAGAACACAATACAACATAGATTACACACAAACTAATGGTTCACAAGCAATCGAAAGGCAACAACAGAAGACCACACAGGTTTCATGCTGGGTTAAAAGCCAGGGGAAAAAGTGAGTTTTCAGATAGGATTTAAGTTTCGACCTCCCATTTTGGGAGAAACTGGCTCCGGGAATAGAAAAATATAAATATAAATAGTGACATAAAAAAGTGAATGCGCCTCTTAAGCAACATGAACAATGCTATGTCATCATTTCAAGGCCAGAAAGCCGAAAATTTTGGAAATCAAATATCTGCAAGAAGAAAGGAAATATTTCTGCCTAATGCAACAGGAAGTGTTCGTATTACTGGTGCCAGACTATTGATATTGAAAATGTATCAATATAGGCTACAGTATATCGCTATGGTAATAACCACATGCCTCTTCCCTAGTTCAAAGTGTTGAGCCTTTCCTGAACTACCAGAGACAATCTAAATGTTTTCAGAACACACGTTTTCTGAGGAAAACTCCCTTTAATGAATTACCAGGAATTTTGTTTTTGCCCTAAGCTTTGCATTTATTTTCTTATCAGATCACGGAGATAATCAGCTATATTTGTTATAATCACTTGAGCAAAATGTTGATGTAATTGTTCTTTATTGATACGAGTCATTTCTTCTGCTCTGACTCCAATGATTTGTTTGAATTGTTGTTTTTTTTTTGTGAAGTGATTACTTTTAAAAGTACTTCACATTCCATTCCCCTTTTTAAGTAAATGTTTGTTCACACCAAATATGTTTCCAGCAGTTTGTTCAAACTCTTCAGCGTCTCCTTCTTTAGATCACTTTGTTTGTAACACACAGTCAAGGCCATATGAACTGTGGTGGCACCAAATGGTCTTACAGCCTCATTTATGTACTCAAACTGGTATCAAACTTTTTTTTTTCATCCACTTGTGAATGTTATCACACCGTATTGTTTCTGAATTTTAATCATTTATTGCCATAGTAACTACTTCCACTCTGTGTGTCAAACACCAAGCTTCTCATTTAAAGGGTGACAGGGCAATAATTTATCACTCGTTTGACAATAGTGAGCAGATCTGAATAAAATGCACACTGAGGCTACAGCAACATGATCAAAATGTGTCTTTGGCCTTCGGGTAATGGAGGAAGAAAGATGAGGACCTGTGGCTCTTCCAAGTAATTTTGTTCAAAAGAAGACAAAACACAATTTTCTGTGTTACAGAAATGGAGACAAAGCAACATTTTTTTTAACACAGTTCACTGCTCGCTGTCAGTTTGGATATAGTTAATTGAAACTGCTTGCTGTGTAGTTGTGCGTGTCGCTCTTCGGTTCTATTACAGAATAGCATCCAGTGAGGCGTTTCTGTGTACCCAGCTGTCAAATAAATTACAGATGCGTAGGTGTACAATAAAGTATCAAAAATGGATCAAACTTTATAGAGCTGATAGCAATAAATAAAAAAAAGTGCCTGATACTGATCCTTGCAAATCAGATACAGGACGTAGTATTCAAGTGCCTAAATTCTATAGCCATAGGCGAAGCAAAAAAATGTGTCTATAGTGCACATTTATAAAACTTTAAAATGGGATATTATTTCAAGTGCACTGGGAAATGTGTGGCCTAGAGACATAACATCATAATTTTGATCAAATATTTGACAAAGACCAAACATGTTTGACAGGCTCTGACATCGGAGAGGATATAACAACACAGCTCATTATCGCAGTGGTTTTATGTCTGTTTCCTGAGCTCACCAAGGACACTTTTTAAAGCCGCTCCTGCTCACTGCATGACTGTGGGACCATTAGATAGCTAAGATGGAGAGTTTTTCATTGTGATGAATTATCTATCCTCTCAAGCAAGTTTCAAGTCTTTGCAGGTTTGTGTTGGATTTAAAAGTGCTCTGACTTTCTGACCTCCACATGAAAAACGGAATTTTTTGTGTTTAGCCATACTTTATGAGTATGTGTGTACTCTGGCACAAAAAAAACTTCATTTTTCTGCACCCACTTGGTTGTGTGAAGACGAGGGAGATTTAATAAGGAGATTGGTTATCTTAAAGGAGAACACCACCGATTTACAGGTCTTGGGGAGTACTACCAGAGACATTTTAGGAGGAGGAGGAGACACGCCACTTTAAGAATCCTCACTACAACTCTATAGGGAAAACCCGTAATGCTAAAGTTGGCAGTTATCCCGCCCCTCCTGCTAGAAAGCCAATTGTCTGCTTTTAACAGCTGAGTCTGAAACATATTCAGCCAATCTGGAGCCTGGTCTTGTTAGTCTGAAATAACTGCCCAGAGGCGTTACCAAGATGTCTGCTGAGTGGCAGGATTTGCCTATAAGGACTTTGGTATTACTAATTATCTGGGGGAAAACGTTTTAAAGCCTTTTGTGGCTCCAGAGGAAGTCTGATAAATTGCCTGAAGTAATGTCACTTGATGCATTGGTTGGAGACTGCAAGTTTGAGAATTAAAAAAAAAGTCTGGTGCTGAATTAGTTAAGTGAGCTTAGCAGTCCTCTCTAGCCTGCTGCTCACTGCTTACTCTGCTTGAAGCTAGCAGCTTGAGGCTACGTTAGCCGCTACTGTAGACTGAAATGCTGTTGTCAAGTTGCAATATGGGTAATGTAGAACTAGGTTTTGACAAAGAATTTGTGGAATAAAACAGACAATATCTCTGGTTCTGCTGCATTGATGTTGATCCTTCTTTTTTTCCCCCCACTCATTGTGACTCCCACAATGGTAAAAGAGTACAAAGCTAAATTGCTGGAGTACTCTTTGAAACCACTTTGTGACCCACAAGGCTGACTTTGTCAATGTTGCCATAATCACTTTGCATAATTAAGCAAGATCCATAAGCTTGTCCAATCATATTGCCCAGATATGACCTGAATGTCACTGTAGTTTATGATTAAAAATGATCTACCCTTCTATTTAGCATCTTAAAGATTACAAAAGGTACAAGAAATTACTGGTGGTCCAAATGTACACAGGAGCCCAAAGCACAATCTCACATCCAAGCTCCAAAAAGGCTGAGGCTGGTGCTGAGACAGCTAGTTATTTAGAATGGAAAGGAATGAATGGAATCAAAGCTATACGTTAAACATGACATAGTATGCAAATACAGAGTGTTGCACAGACCTGATAAAGCAGTTCAAAATAGTTTATGAAGTACAAAATGGTAAAAAAATAGCACTGCTATAAATGTTAACATTGCAAGTTCGAGGAGGGCAGATAAGACAGGATGGCAGCTCTTAGGGGGGAAACGGTCGCTGTTGTGGGTGAAGTAATGGGCAGGTAGTGTTTTTTAGAAAGGCTCTGAAGGAGACAATGAGCCGGGGTAAGCAGGGCGGTGGCAGTTCTACCCTCACATTTTTCACCTAAATGCTAAGCAGCTTGGTTACAAACATAAATAAATGGGATGTGTTTTGGTGCTATATGGACACTTGTACCCTCCAGACTTATTGAGATTGCAGACACAGAGTCTCTCTGAAAGAGCAAATCAGTGCAATGATACAAATTGGAGTGGGCGACTAACTGAGGCTGAGATGTTAATCTTAATGGAAAGTTGAAGTTGTGCCCAGCCAAGCTAACCCAATAATTAGCATGAGCACAGGGTGCATGCGGGCCATGGTGCCATTTTAATATGGAATGCTGAACGTAAGCTTGGTATGGCTGGGCTAATTGGGGAAGGGTGCGCTAGCAAGGCACCTCAGTCCATTATCTGTATTGCCATGGGAACTAGATAAGGATAATTAGCTGGACAGCATGGCACAGTGCAGCGGCAGCTATGGGCACAAGCAGCAGGATTAGGGATGCATACAATGATGAAACTAATAGAAATGGATTTTTCACAAACTGTAAAAGATTAAGTAATTTATGATTAAGTGGCATCAATATTCACTTCATTCATTCCAGCTAAACTCAAAGCTAGTGCCGTTTCTCATAGTTATTTTGTGTCTCCTTCTTTTTTTTGCCCAATTTTCTGTTTATCACTTATCATCCAAAGCTATAAATGGGAATAATGAAGACATTGTCCTGCTGAGAAGTAATCACTTGTCTTGTTCTTTCCTCACATCTCTCCTATTCTCCTAGCTATCCACCCCTGGTCAACTCTTACTATTCATTTCATCTGCATCCACTGCTGCATGTGTTACCTTCATCTCTCATCTCATTCCTCTCACACTGACTTGTATCTAGGACAGAGTAACTGTGGATAACCCTTCATGGGGGAGATAGATTTATTTCATTCAGCTCAACATAAACTTGTCAGTCGGTCAACATCGCACCAAGACATGGAACTTATGTTAGTAGGTCATCCGCATTCTTAGGATGGCATTTAAACCAGCTTTGTTTTAGTCTTTTCTCTACCTCCTGGGACATTCTGTGCACTAAAACCCTGAGAATATTTCCATTCTATGTCCCATTTTCCCATCTCTCTCTCTGGATCCCACCCCTATCTCTCTGTCCGGGTGGTCCAGACCAGTAGGACCCCCTACTTTCTCCGTTATTTTTTTCTCTCTCCTCTGTTCCCCTCTCTCTCTCTCCAGTTTTGTCTTTCTCTGTGTGAACAGATGGCCAAACAGGCAGATCTGTTCTTTCTCTACAGGATTTTGGATCTCACACAATAGGCCTCAGATTCTAAGTCCAGACTCTGTTTCTGCCTGGCTGGGAAGCTAAACAAAGAGAGGAAGGAGGATAAGAAATGAAAGCATTTTGCAGAGTGGTACAAGGAAGAGAGTTACTTCAAAGAGTTTTTGCAATGTTTGCACATGGTTTCATGTGTTGCACTTTAGTGCAGGGTGTGTATTGTACAGAACTTGTGCATCTTAACAAACATCGTTTTTAGGTTGTTATGTTTTATGGTTGGTTGATATGACAATATCACGGGGCGCTATCGTATACAGTCAAGGAGTATTATCAATGGGCGTCAACCAAAATGCCTCTGGATGCAATTGCATAGACCTACACCCAGTCAGAGCAACGAAATGTGTGATTTAGCGTAGTTGTTAAATTAAACTTAACCAAAACTTGTTGGAAGTACATCTAACACATCTTGTTTTTAACAACAATCAAAGCTTGTGCAGTTGTTTGTTTATCTTTTACAGAAAATACAGCTATCTTGGTTGTTGTCCGACCAGTAAGGTTGCACTCCTCTGTACAGTCATTGTGTCAAACCCATCCCATATTAGATGAATGGTTGTGATTGGCCCGACCAGATCCAGGACAGATGGAAATCTGTCTGAATGGAAAGGTGGCCTGATGTATCTGCCAGAGCAAATAAAACACAAGCTTGCAGATTTGTGTTGTTCCCAGGCCATCACATAATTTTTAAGCAGGACTGTTTTATGGCAATATTGGATTATTTTAGCCACTTTTTTTATTTTAGCATTGTGGTTCTATGGATGGCAATGCCAGCTTGTCAGTCAGTCCACTATTTTGGTCCAGACTGAAATATCTAAATGTATATTTATGGCCCCCAGAAGATGAATCCTAATAACTTTGGTGAGCCGCTGACTTTTCCTGTAGCGCCACCGTGAAGTTGACATTTAATGATTGCAGTTGAATGTCTTTACAATTATTGGGGATGGGCTGCCTTGATATTTGGTGCACACATTCATGTCCACATCAAGATGAACTGTCGTAATTTTGGTGATCCTCTAGCTTTTCATATACCGCCATCATCTGGTCAAGTTTTGAATTGTCCAGAACTTTGTTGGTTTGTTGGTTAATGACCAAATAACTGTAAAAGACATCAGCCTTAGCTCTACTCTGCCCTTAGAGCTAACTAGCAAATAGCATGCTAACTTGCACAACTAAGATGGTAAACACGGCAAACATACCTGCTAAACAGCATATTAGCATTGTCTCTGTGATGCATGTTAGCTAGCAAACTTTAGCATTTAGCTGAAAGCCCCTCTGTGCTGTACATAGTGCTGCTAGCTTGGCTGTAGGACAGTCTTAGTCTTGCTGTATGTCGATTTATGCATAAATATAATATTTTCAGGTATTTGATTTGCTGGATTAGACAAAAACTCTGATTCTCATCTTTCTACTTCCCCCACCCTTTCTCCTGCTCCATCTTTATTTTCTCTGTCTTTCTCTGCTGCCCCCCTCTCTCCTCTGTTTCAGGTACTACATGTCTGGTGGCCCTGCTGTCTGATAAGGAGTTAACAGTGGCCAACGTCGGAGACTCGCGTGGAGTTCTTTGCGATAAAGATGGCAACGCCATTCCTCTCTCTCATGACCACAAACCTTACCAGCTCAAAGAACGCAAGAGGATCAAGAAGGCTGGTGAGAAAATAGCTGGAGGCCAGACCAACAGACTTTTCTCAGCTAATTCTAAAGAACACAATAATGCTTTAGTTCAAACTTTGATGAACATCAAAACTCATGAAAGCATAAAATGTCTTTTTATGATCAAAGCTAAGCACCATTATCCCTTTTTTCACATCTTGTGTCTCTGTGCTCAGACTGACATCAAACCCCAGTGACTGATAACACAATCTGCTTCTAAAGCCGCATGTTATCAAATGCAGCCAGACAGTGCACAGTATTTAAGGTGTGTCTGTAGGCATAATTCTCCCTCCTACCCAATCTGCATAAACTCTGTGCTGAGAAGAGTTTGACAGCAGTTTGCCAGATTAGTCAGTCAGTGTGGTCACCATAAGGAAAGCCCACCATCTCCATCTAATGGTCTAAATGAGTACTGAACAAAAAAGCATTGAGATTTAGTTGCTGTTAACTTATTCCTGTTACATGCTTTGTAATTATTCTTGTACTGCAGATGCTTCCCTACTGTTATCAGTGACCTTCAGTGAAGGTGGCCACCTGATGTTTTAAACCTAATTCTCCTATACAAGAACCACTAGTTTACTAATAGAACTGCTTATACAGTAGCCCCCTCTCAAGGGGTGGCATTACCTTGTTACAGTGGTGTCTCTCTGTGACTCATCCCTAAACAGACACTCAACAACAATTAATGACCGAACCTTTAAACCCACAGGTTAAGCTCATGATCTGATTAGATTGTGGAGCACCTTGCTGCATACATCATTTTTAAACTATTGTAACTTCTAAATGCTAAATAAATAAAAGCAAAAATTCCATCCATTGAGCAACATGACAAAAACTCCCCCAAATTAGATCAACGTACTGTACGACCCACAGAATACAGTGAATATGTATTAGGAAAGGTTTTACTTGAAATATTAAATGCGAAATATCAGACTATTAACTTAATATTTCCTTAATAATTCATTAAATTGACTTAAATGTAAATTTGCTGTATGTAAGATTATTTTCTGTTTGTATATGAGATTTGGCCATATGGAATTTATTTTGTACTGCCTGACCAGTATTTCTATTTCCTTTTTTCCCCCCATTGTATTCTGGGGGATCTTAAGATACATTGTTGGTCATAATAGGGATCTTTTTAATCAAATATTAATTGCCCCAGGTGCTTGTGATTTTACTTACTTTTAGTTGGAGTGATTGCAGTCTGTGGTGGTTAGTTTGATGCCTGATGAATGCCTTTTTACTGAAAGGTTGCATTTTCAATAAATTTAGTGCTGCTGACAGTATACGGGAATGAAAACTAACTAATGAAATGCATTGATTTCAACTAAATACAAGCCATTAGACATATGAAGACACATAAATACTAGTGAAGGCAGAAATGTTTGCTAATTAATGAATTTATTAGCTTAACTACTGCTCTGAGCAGCTAATTGCTTAAGTTAATACCTCATAGTGCTTAAGAGAGACATTAGGCACTGTCTAATGTCTCATGTTTCTAACTGCAAAGCATTTCCCCAACAATGACATCAAAGCAGATGGCTAAAGAGACAGTAGCTACTATCAAGGACACAGAGATCATGTCCTCTACTTTTCTGGGAATTCTGAGATTTTAGCTGTTTATAATAGGAAGTTATGCATAATAGAATTTTCTATAGCCTCCGTGTTTTTAAAATGCTGTCTATGTCGTTGCTCACTAGGGAGGCATCCTGGCCTAGGATGGAAGTCTTCATCTTATCCAGTCATTTCCAGTATACAATTCCCTACTTGCAAATCTGTTGAAGCCACAGAGGACACACAGCTGTACTTGCAGGATGTGACATTAATTGAAATGTATCCAACAGAAACAATGATCCATATTATTAATTGCAATTTAAATGCAGCGGTGATAGAAATGAATAGACATTCTGCCAGTTGGTTAAAAGGAACAAAATAAACTTTTACCTTTGGTTTAATGGCAAAAACATGGAAATGTTTTGCATGTTTCTCTACTTGTCCTCTCACCTTTTGTGTTCCTCGTTTTTTGCTGTACTTCTTTCTCACATACTTTATAACCCTTCCTGCTCCTTGTTTTAATAATTTCCCAACTATTTCTCTTCTATCTTCCTCCTCAGGTGGGTTCATCAGCTTCAATGGCTCGTGGCGTGTCCAGGGCATCCTGGCCATGTCCCGCTCTCTGGGCGATTACCCCCTGAAGAACCTCAACGTGGTCATCCCTGATCCTGACATCATGTCGTTTGACCTGAACAAGCTACAGCCGGAGTTCATGATCCTGGCGACAGACGGCCTGTGGGACACCTTCAGCAACGAGGAGGCGGTTCGCTTCATCAGGGAACGACTGGACGAGCCTCATTTTGGTGCCAAGAGCATCGTCCTCCAGTCCTTCTATCGTGGTTGCCCTGACAACATCACGGTTATGGTGGTCAAGTTTAAAGGCAAGGCCAGTGAGCAGTAGACTGTCCGTCTACCACACACAGGATCTATATTATGTTTTAAAATCAGTAAGAATAAAATAGGCTTAAGATGAAAGTGTGAAAAACCGAGCCCGTAACTTTTTTGAACGAGAACTATTTCTATCACAGGTATGTACTTCAATGTCCTCCCCTGTCCTCCCTCTCATCCCCCCTCCTCTACTTTTACTGCTGAAAAAGTGGCACTTGTAAGAATATGTCTTTCATTTAGGCTTAGCCATATCGTTCAGACACCGCAATGCGCGCTGGGTCACTGTTATGCAAATAAACAGATTTAGCTCTGTGCAGCTGTAGGTGAGCCCTTGAGTCTGCGTGTGTGTGTGTGGTTGAGAGGAGAAAGAGTAATAGATGTCTGTCTTTGTGTGATAAACTTGCACACAAGCATCACATTAATCATAAATTCATTGTTTAGCCAATAATGAGAAATACAAGAGTATACAAGATAGCGTGGAGTTTCACTTCCACATCATTTCAAGCCTGATGTCTTTCCCTCAACTATTTGACTATTGACCACTAATTTTTATATTTTAAGTCTCTAAACTCAGTTTCCACATAATTTAATTGTATTGACGTCTACGAAGTGTCTGCACTGAAGAGTCTGCACTGAAGAGTCTGTCGTTTAAAAATGTTGACAGGTCATTTATTCCTGGATCAAATACATGTCACTGGTGCAAATCCTCAATATGAATTTATTCTCTTTATACATGAACAACTCAAATGATAATATGCATATGCTTGTTTGAATATCACCCTTTCACGTTGTACAGCAAGGGAACCTATTACAGCGTCATATCACACTTACTAGATGTGGGAATTCTCGATGTCTGAATAAAGTGTTTTGTCTTGAGTTGCCCAATTTTATAAGTTTAAAGTTTTAGTTCACTTAAAATGATTGCTGTCAGTTTCCGTGCAGATAAAGTCTCAGTTCTGTTGTGATTGTTTATACATTTCAAGACTTTTTAAAGCTGAGACTCCAGATTGATCTGTTCTGTCACTCTGTTTAGCATCAACTTATCAGTATCCACATAACTATTGATAATGTAATAACTGTTTGATAATTCAGTAGGTTGTCAAATTGTAACCAAATCTCACTTTAAATGGGTGTAAAGTGTAACTTTTAAAAGCAGCATCTTTTCAGATATTGTGGTGATAATGTTAACATGGCATTATTACTCTAACTGCTAATTATTATTTCTTAAGGTTTGTTAAGTTATATATATATATAATAACTTTGAGTTATCACATAATTGAAATAAAAACTGGCAGTTATGATTTTAATATAAGATGTACAACTATACATAACATAAGATGTATTTTTAATGGACTTATTTTTTACATATTGACATGCTATTCCTTTATCTGACTTTTCTTACATTATCGTTTACTACATTGTACATGAGATATAAATAAACTGAAATTGACAATTTACTGTTAATGTCATCAGTTAATGCCTTGCCATTTTAGTTCCATCATTTTGAGACAAATGTCATTGTTCAATCTCCATTTCCCTGAACTGTAACTCAAAATGGTACACGCCTTTCAATGAAATGTGTCATTGTTGCCTTATTTTTTTAACTGTTCATTTCCTGTGATGAAGTCTGCTGCCAAAACTTCTTCTCGGTTTTTAATGTAACGCAGTTGATCATATCATGCACACTGCACGACCTCAGTGTCATTCCTTGATAACTCACGTGACATTGTGAGATGAATGTACATACTGTCACATAATGTTAGTATCACCCCTCCACTGTTTATACCGCAATGAAGAACGCAATGCGCCTGTTCCTGGACTGTTTAACTTCAGAAATGTATACCTGATAAAAAAGTTTGTGCTTTTTTAGTTCACATTCTTCCTTGACAGTGTACATTACAGAATGTTTGTGGCATTTGTACTTGTTTTTGTTGACTTTAATAGACTGAAAAATAAAGAATTCAGACATTTTAAAATGTAAATCAAAAGGTAACATTAAAATGAGAGATGATCATGTACTATTCTATGTTGTGTGTGTGTTCTTTAAAGAAAATAAAAAGTAAGGTATACAGAGAGAATATAAACGACAACAACATAGACAAAAAATAGAAAGAGAAGACAAAAACAAAACCCTTATATAGTCTATATTCTGGGGACTCATTTCACAAAAAGGAATAATGAGGATGAAATTTTCCTTGGTTAAAGAGAAAATGCAGCAACAACTTCACTTGAAATCAGACTATGACCCTTAACTTTTGTAAAAAGCCCCCTGTTTCATCTGCTGGGTGATCAGAAGATGTTCATTACAGCAGTCAACACTATTATGTTAGAGTTTGGCAATAAACCAAGTTCACTGCAATGGGACATCCAGGCAGTGAGAACACACATTCTTCCAGTTGAGCCAAACATGGACTTTCTGGCTGCTGGTGTGTATGATGGTCTGAAGCAGGTGTGATGTGATTCCACTAACTGTGGTGTGCTAACCAGAGAACTGCATCACTTTGGATATAAATAGCCTTACAGAGGGGGAGGGACCACTCTGCCTGTGTGTGCATAAAGCATACTGATTGCACACAGTCTCTATAAGAGAGCAGACACACTAAGCCTACAGATAGACAGTACAAAGGAGCCACTGGGTGCTGACAACTTAGTTTTTACAGTTACGCTGGAAGAAAAAGCCACAGATTTTTGGATATACACAAGCTACACTTTTTAGACATGGGCATGTATGGATCCAAGCCTCGTAAACAAGCACAGGTCCTGATGCTGGGTCTGGACGGCTCGGGAAAGACCACCCTGCTCTACAAACTGAAGTACAACGAGTGCGTGGTGACCGTGCCAACTGTGGGCTTCAACGTAGAGACACTGGAGACAGACAGGAGCAGCCCGGGCCTGACTGTGTGGGACGTTGGGGGCCAGAAGAGGATGAGGCCCCATTGGAGGCATCACTATACTGATACAGCCGGACTGGTGTTCGTAGTGGACAGCCGGGATGAAAAACGGCTGGACGAGGCCTGCAAGGAACTTCGTCGGGTAATTAAATCAGAATGAATTCCTGAGTGAGGCTTAACGTTTAAAACCTTTATTTTGCATTAATATGCAGTATATGAACACCACCTCCCTTCATTCACTTGGATCCTTAACCTTAACAGTCAAAATCAGACAAAATCAAATATTCAGTTCATGTATGTTCAAAGAGATCAAAGCAGAGGACTTTTGTATGTCTTGAAGCATGTCTGGAGGGGGTCTTAAATAAATGGCTTATAGCACATTATAATTTTATTGTAAGCAAATATAGGAACATATATAAGTGCTTATTAATGTATTTGTCAACTATAACTCCATTACTTTGTATATAATTTGAATGAATTCTGAATGATAACAATAACTGATAAATAATAATACTGTATATTATACTTGTAATCATATTTATTGATATATGATGACAGATTATACATGTGATAAAGCATTCCTTCTTTGTACAAATCATTAACAAACAGGTTTATATGTTTATAAATGCATTAATCTCATGAAGACATGTTGATCTTGAAGGTTTATTCTTGAGTTTGAAAATAGTAGTTTGACCCAAAAAAATATTCTTAATTCACTGCCCACTTTCTGCTAGAGTTTTCAGCAGGACCTTATGGCCTTCAATAGGATGGAGTTTGCTCCATTGTCATCTAGAGTGAAAAAGAAGTATTTCTAAAAGCATACATTCTTGTATAAATATTATAAATAGATACTTCATATTTAACTAGAATTGTGTTATATGTGTTTAAAAGGCATAATAATTGTTAACAAATACCTTAATAATTGCTAAATATGTCCTTATCTCTGTTTTCAACAACTTTACAGTGTGTTAGAAGCCATATAATGTGTCTATATATACTGCTTAATGCTAAAACATCAAGGTTTAAGTAAAGTTTTCTTTTCCCCTGAACACTGTGTGCAATGGACAGGTTAATTTAATAGTGTGTTTTAAACTGCAGTAATTAATTAAAGTAATTATTGTTTGTATTAGGTCCTGAAGTACGAAAGCCTCAGAGGAGTTCCTCTTGTGGTCCTTGCCAACAAACAGGACCTACAGGGAGCTCTAAGCCCAGAAGCACTTTGCCTGAAACTGGAATTGAGAAGAGTGTGTGAGGGCAGGCCCTGGTTCATCCAGCCCTGCTCAGCCAGCACCGGCATGGGACTCGAGGAAGGTTTCAGGAGGATAGTCTATCTGATGAAGACTCCATTGAAACAAACTCAGGAGGACATTAAGGTTAAGATGAGATCTAAGGGCCTCAGTGTCACAGCTATGAAACAAGTCTTGCTCTGCAGCAGATGATGGATAAAAATCTTAAGGTTCATTTATACAATGTGTAGGATTCCTTCTTGCTGGCCCCATCAGCAAATGGCCTCACTCTGGCAAGATCAGATGTGAGGAGGTGATACCAAAAGGGATGACACGATTGCAGTTAGAAGTGTTAATCTCTGTGGCAGAAAGAATTTTCACTCGATCCTGGTGTCTTTGGACCATGGTGATCTGTACGTAATGAGGATGAGAACACAGCCAGTGTGTCACAAGCTGATATTAGCTGTTTGCAAAAAATATTCAGACGCACAGTGTACATACAGTCAATGGTCAAGTTTCCATGGCTAAAAGAAATGTGCTTGTGCATTGTCCATTTTTCTTTATTTCTTGTGTCTGTATTTGTATTTATTTGTATAAAATAAAAAATACTTCTCATTACTATTTCATACAAGCCTTATTTATTTATTGTATATATTAATTATAATGACATTACCAGTGTTAATATTGTTAATAGTGATGTAAAGTATATGTGTTGTTACATTAAAGACATTAAAACAACAACAAAACTGTGTGTTTTCAATGTTATGCTATTGCTGTCTCAGTATTGTTTTGTCTATTTGTTGCAAAAGTTGTTAAATTATGTTGACTTGAAAGATATCGGGAGTTTGGGTGATAAAAAAAATTGAAGAAGATAGGTATTTAGATTCTTTAATTGAGTAAAGGTTGCAATACAAGAATGTAAAAATGGCATGTAACATGTTACCTGTGAAAGTCCAGAAATTCAAAATCTTAGATTTTGACACAGGGCCCATACAAGCCATTAAAGGATAGTTTAGTCACTATAATTGTCCATTCTGACTTTAAAGAGATCCTCTTGTAATCATAATGTAGGAGATGGGGGACAAAGTCCTTGTTCTATAAAAAAATGCTTTTCGAAGTTAAAAGTTAAGACGAGGTTTTATCATCATCATCCAAAGTAACTGTGTTTCCAGCACAATATTCTGTTTTTGTTTTACTTTCAAGGTTAGAAACACTGTCCAGGGAAAACAAAAAGAGGGGATATAGCAAAAAATATTGTCTAACAATGAAAGCTGCTTTGTCAATCTGGTTGCAGTTGATCAATTTACCAAAAATCTATTAACGGTCTGTTTTTTGATGGTTGACAATCCAGCATTGTTTGTAGGCTATACTATTGGTAGTTTAATTTACAGTAAAACAGTGGATCATATTTTTAAGATGACTGTGTACTTTATCAATATTTTGATAAATAAAAGAATAATCTACAAAGTAATTATAGGCAAAAAAGTAGAAATACTCAAGTAAAGAACAAATATCAACATTGTACTAGTAAATGTACTTCCTTCTATCAGTGTATAAAATACACATGAATACAAATGCAGTTATGGAAAGTATATTTACTCAAGTACTATTTTTAAGTACACATTTGAGGTACTTGTACTTGAGTATTTTGATTTAATGCTACTTTAAAGTTCTACTGAACTAGATTTTCTAGGTAAATGTTGTACTTTTTCCTCCACTACATACATTTTTAATTACTAGTTCATTTGCAGATTTATATTATTAATATAAAAAATACATCAACTTATAAATTATGATATATTATCACACCCAGCAGTATATGAAGTAATCAAATTTAGCGCTCCCCTTTGCCAACTGTAACATTAAAGTGGTGTACACATTAATGCATCACTAATTATAATACAGTAAATTAATATGTATGATTCTGAAATGGGCCATTCTGCATGAGTACTTTTACTTTTGGTCAAGGGCATCACTTTGTGTTCAAAAGTGGTGGGGACTTAAGAGTTCAGATTAGGGGTGTGACGATACACTTAGCTCACGAGATGTGATGATGCACAATATTAGGTTCACGAGAACAAGATAAGAAGATGTTTTAGCATTACTGAAGAAATATTCAGTGCTAATGTGTAAGTCTGGTGAGGTTGTTCCCCAGAATTTTTTAAGCATTAAACACTTCTGGAGAAATTTAGAAAAATCTAAACATAATTTATAGTGGAAATGACTTTATTTAAATAAAGGGAAACACAAAATTCAGGTGGCAGGTGACAATTCAAAATATAATAATGTATCATGTAATATAATGCAGTAATCAGTAGCTTGTGTTTTTTAGCTTAAGTTACTGTTTTTGGACAATACACATTTGTTTCTTCTATTTTTACACTGCAGTGCATGTTTTCCTATTGTGTAAACAAACCTTTCTCAAATTTATTTAATTTTTTTGTTGCAAGCTATATTCAGAACATTTTTAACAAATGCTTTCAAAAAGTAATGGGGACAAAATCAGCAATTTCAAAAGGTGATGGGGCCATGTCCTTTTACTTAAGTAAAATGTTGAATGCAGGATTTTTACGTTGTGGTATTTCTACTTTTAATTTTTTTATGCAGGATGTCAACTACACTGGACAGATATTTGGAAGCCATTTTGAGCCATTTTAGTCATAGTACCATGTCTCAACCACCACATGGTGGACCCCCAAAGCCTTTTCCACAATTCTCTTTGATTACTATGTTTTACATCTCTGTCATTTTGATATACTGCATCATACATTTTAAATAGGGGAGAGAAGTGGAGATGCACCAAGTACCTCAGCAATAACTATTAAATCATTTTATTCTCAGAAAAGTAGAGTACAGTGTTCTGTGACTGAAAATAAACCTGTCCACTCCAGTGGTGTTTAAAAT